TTTTGGCTCAGTGGATAGAGCATCGGCCTGCGGACTGAGGGGTCCCAGGTTTGATTCCAGCCAAGGGCATATGCCCGGGTTGCGGGCTCGATCCCCAGTGGGGGGTGTGCAGGAGGCAGCCGACCAATGATTCTCTCTCATCATTGATGTTTCTATTTCTCTCTCCCTCTCCCTTCCTCTCTGAGATCAATAAAGATATATTTAAAATAAATAAATAAATAAAATATATTGAAGGGACTGCCTTTATGAGATTACACTTTTGGCCCCAATTCTTTACCTTCCCGTGTATCCCACACTTGTTGCCATGTGACTTTGCGGCTCCTCTTGCTAAAGAGGAGTCTATTTCCTGACACTTGGATCTGGGCTGGCCTTACGCTTTAGCTAATAGAATGTGGCCAGAGTACTGATGTGTGCCATCAGTGAGCTTAGGACTCTAAGACACACTGGTTTCTACTTTCTCTCTTCCACCTGTGCCTCTTCCACAAGAATATTCCCTGGGGTTGCCTGCTGGAGGAGGAGAGAAACAGAGAGAGAGACATTTCAGTTGTCCCCAGTCACATCCATTCTAGATCATCCCATCAGCCATCCCTCACATCTGTGCTTGAGCTCTAACAAGAGTTTTAGAGCTTCCTACCCTACCATCCCAGATGTGTGAGCAAACATGTTTCTTGTTACACCTTCGAGATTTCGAAGTTGTTGCGTAGCATTATCGCTGCAGTAGAGAACTTCTAGTATGTACCATCACTATTTGGCACCACATGTTCATCAAACATCACAGGTCCAGAGACTCTTGCAAACTGAAATGTATGCAAGTTTTACAAGCCTAGGAAATAACATCCCTCAAAGATTGGAAAGCAATGAGCAAATACAGTTTCTGCTCCTATTATTGAAAGCAGCCACTTCTACTGGAAACTGCCATTAAGTCAAGTATTGAGAATGAGTCAGGGTATCTGCAAATAAGTGAAAATGGTGAGCATAAAATGTACTCTTACACTTGTGAAAATTATGTGATGTATATTATCTCTCGCTTACCGTAACTAAGAGATATTTGAAGTGTGTGCAAGCAAACAAATGATGAGAGTTGACAATAGAAAGGGAAACTTGGCCCCCATGAATTATCTGTTCATTGACCCTTCTAGCTGCAGATGGTGACATCTACTGTGGATGAAATAGGAGGTCGAGAGACAGCAAGGAGAGTTTCTTTCCTCAGGGAGGGAGGTCAATTCAGTTTGTGAGCTTTGAGAAGCTGGAATGTTATCTTGGATCTGGAAATACTTAGTGATGCTTGTCAGGCTAGAGATCAAGTTACCCTGGGAGCTCAGTTAATTACCCAGAACTTTCTGTATTGATTGAGCCCTGAGACTCTGCAGGACTTTCTCAGAGCCAGGGCTCCTTTATTCTATAAGAGCTATTTTCTCCCCTCCTTAGCTGGATTTTCTTGGATTACTGAAAGAAAGTTTGCGCATGCACACAGGAGAGTTGCCTCACACGTTTTATTTTCCTTGTTTAGATCAACCAGAGCAATGATCTATGTCCTCTAATATGCTGTCTTAGAATAACATAGCCACAGTTAGGTTTTGTCATTTTCAGAACTTTTGGATCTGATTAGCAGGTGAAGCATTCATTCTGTGCCACTGCTGGCTCTCCCATCTGTCATGGGAGCTGCAGAGCATGCGCTAGCACTTAGGTGCTGGTGAGCTACTAATGAGCCATGGAGAAAACGAATCTACTTGGGGCTCACAGTTTTCAGAGATACATAAAATCATGAATACAGTCATCCATTACTCAGAATAACCTAAACACCTTTGATGAGTATTCAGTTCTTTCAGAATCATGACGTTGCTAATCATGATTCCTGATTAAATAGCAAGCTGGGTTCCTGGTCTTCATTAAAAGGTAGAGGCCACCTTCATTCATTGCTGGTGGGAATGTGAAATGGCATAACCATTGTGGAAATGAGTCTGGCAGTTCCTCAAAAAGTTAAGCATAGAGTTAGCATATGACCAGAAACTCCATTCATAGAATATATCCAAAAGAATTGAAAACATGTCTAGAAAAAAATGTGTACATGAATGCTCACAGCAGCATGATTCAAAGTAGCCAAAAGGAAGAAACAACCATTGAGGGAGATGAATGGATAAGCAAAACATAGTCTATCCATACAATAGAATATTATTCAACTATAAAAAGAAATGAAGCACTGACAATGCTGCCATGTGGATGGACCTCAGAAACATGATGCCAAAGGAAAGAAGCCAACACAAAGGCCACATATTGTATGATTCCATTTACATGAAGTGTCCGGAATATGCAAATCTATAGAGACAGAAAGAAGATTAGTAGCTACCTGGGTTGGGGGGAGGGAGAATGGGGAGTGACTGCTAATTGGTATGGGGCTTTGGCGGGGGGGGGGGGGGCGTTCATTAAACATATTCTGGAATTAGATAGTGGTGATCCCTGTGGGCTTCCTTTCCCATTTTTGAAGTCAGTTGGCTGGGTTGTGCTAATAAGGGACTCTGGAGGGAAATTAGAGGGTTGGTGAAAGGGAGAAGCCATGGTATTTCTTGCTCTCTTTACTGGGGATGGAAGGGGTCAGTCACTGAATTATACATAAGATGAGATAAAGGTTCATATAGGAATAAATCAAAGAGCCTGAAGGTTTCTGGGGACTAAACTGTTCTGGCAGGATGAATTGCTTTCAATATTTTCAATTATATATATATATATATATATTTTTAAATATATTTTATTGATTTTTTACAGAGAGAAAGGGAGAGAGATAGAGAGTTAGAAACATCGATGAGAGAGAAACATCGATCAGCTGCCTCCTGCACATCTCCTACTGGGGATGTGCCTGCAACCCAGGTACATGCCCTTGACCGGAATTGAACCTGGGACCTTTCAGTCCACAGGCCGACGCTCTATCCACTGAGCCAAACCGGTTTCGGCTCAATTATATATTAATAAAGATGACTTTGGTCGCAAGAGCCAAAAAACTTCCTCAGTCAAGCTAAAGCAAAAAACAAAACCAAAAAACCAATAAGCATTGGCTAATTTTTGTTATTAGGATTATATACTAGGAAAGCTGATACAGTTGAAGGAAGCACTGCGGAATATGACATTGATAGCCTTGCCTAGTTACCCCAAGACAAAGAGGGCTCTTCTTTCTCTAAAGTCCACACAGCAATCCCAGAGAAGGATATGATTGGTTCTGCTAGGGCAGTGGTTCCCAAACTTATTTGGCCTACCGCCCCCTTTCCAGAAAAAATATTACTCAGCGCCCCCTGGAAATTAATTTTTTTTAAATTTTAATAGCAATTAAACAGAAAGATATATGTATTAATGTTTCTACCTTTTTCGTAAAATATAGTAAAGAAAAGGTGTAAATTAGAAACATTGAAGTTTGAAATTATGAAACTATTTATTGAACTCAGAATAGAAAGGTAATACAAAAAAAGTTAAATGCACCTGTGGCCATCACCGCGCCCCTGGATCGCTGCAGTGCCCACCAGGGGGCGGTAGCGCCCACTTTGGGAATCACTGTGCTAGGGCCATATGCCTATAATTAGAGGGACATGTTCTATATCTTTGTTCAAATTAAAGGCAACACATTTGTGGGGAGAACAGTGGAGCATGTTGGACAGACAAAATAAACTGAACTCCACGACAAGTTATACATCTCTGCTGCATTTATTGTCTTGCAGGGCTGCTTTGAAATATAAAAGGTGGAGATCCAGCATTAATTTTCATTATTGAAAGTAAAGAAGGCCCTAGCTGCTGGATAGAGTGCAGGCCAGCTGACTGAAATGTCCCGGGTTCCATTCCCATCAAGGGCACATACCTCAGTTACAGGCTATATCCTCATGTGGGAGGCAACCAATCTATGTGTCTCTCTCACATCAATGTTTCTCTCTCTGTCTCTCACCCTCCAGTCTCAAAAATCAATGGAAAAATATTCTCGGGTGAAGATTAACAACAAAAAGTAAAGGAGGCCAACCATATGTCTATAACAGTAGGTCCTTTTCAATCTCTCGGAGATAGACTGGTTCATCAAAGGGATTTTTGATTTGTGTCTTATGCCACTTTTTTCTTTCTGAGATCAAATTTCTAGTTTATTATTCACTGCTGTATCTCTAGGACTTAGCACAATGTCTGGCACATTGGAGAGGTATAGATGAATGGAACCGGAGCTGTGACAAACTGGATTGCAAATATTGTATAGGGAATTCATTGTGGAGGGCTATGAATTACAGACTACGGATTTTGTAGTTTATTAGGAAGGAAACAGACTCACCATAGGGAGGTATTAGCTACTATTGCAGGTAAGGATACAAAGCCACTTATAACCTGACCTGGCTGTCTCCAAATGGCATTTGTGAATACTGAGAAAAAATTTGTTCACGCTTTAAAAGAGGTAAATGAAAACCCAAAACTTTGAGTTTAAATATTAACGAATCAAACACAAATTTTATTTTTTTATTTTATATACTTTATTGATTTTTTACAGAGAGGAAGGAAGAGGGATAGAGAGTTAGAAACATCGATCAGCTGCCTCCTGCACACTCCCTACTGGGGATGTGCCCACAACCAAGGTACATGCCCTTGACGGGAATCGAACCTGGGACCCTTCGGTCCGCAGGCCAACGCTCTATCCACTGAGCCAAACCGGTCAGGGCAAGCACAAATTTTAAAGGTGCAAATTCAATCCGTTGCTTTTTAACACAATCTTTTAGAAATTCAATTTTGTTTTCAAATGAAATGAACAAATGGCAGCCCCCAGGAGGTTCAGACCCGGCCGGCAAATGTGGACCCACTTTAACTCGGTCCTAGTCAAAGTCGCCCGGGAACTTGCTCTCCTTCCGCAAGAGTTTCTGTAGGGACTTAGTTTGTAGGTGCAACCTCTTTGTCCCCACCCTCCACGGCACTCTGGGGCATTCTGATTGGCTCTGGCTCTAATATGGCTTCTCTGATTGGCCAACAGCATGCCGCGAGCGCGAAGTAGCCGGTTCCCTGGGATACGGCCCGGGCTGGTTGAGGCGGAGGGCGGGCTGTGGTGGCAGGAGTCCGGCACACCATGGCCAGTGTCCACGAGAGCCTCTACTTCAACCCCATGATGACCAATGGCGTGGTACATGCCAACGTGTTCGGCATCAAGGACTGGGTGACGCCGTATAAGATCGCGGTGCTGGTGCTACTGAACGAGATGGGCCGCACGGGCGAGGCTGCCGTGAGCCTCATGGAGCGGCGGAGGCTCAACCAGCTGCTTCTGCCTCTGCTGCAGGTGAGGGGCCCCGCTGGCTCCCGTTCTTCCAGCAAACTTCCCGGAGCACCTGCTCTGTGCCTGCCGTTTACTTGGGTCTGGGGGGACGGGGGTCCATCAGCTAACGCTTGGCCTTGGAGGACCGCGGAAAAGGAAAGATAATGCCACCAGCTAACACTTAATGAGTGTTTACTATGGGCCAGGTGCTTGACATGCATGTTTTCCCAGGTTCATATCTGGCTCCAGCATTTGTTAGCTGAGCGACTGGGCGAAGAGTTGCTTTTTCAGGTCTTCTGTTTTCTGCAGAATGGGGCTGGCTACACGTAGTCCTGTGTGTGTGTGTGTGTGTGTGTGTGAGTGTGAGTGAGACACATGAATCCTATGGGTTCTGTATCCGACCTAGAGGACATTAATAAGTAGTAATAATGACATAAGACTAACAGTGAACATCGATTTTGTGCTAAGCATTTTATTTCATTTTATAGCACTTACTAGTTGTGGGCCTTGAGCAAGTTCTCCAGCCTGTTTGGGTCCTGGTTTCTGCAAAATGGGAACAATAATAGGAACTATGTCATGGGATGGCTGTATTAACTGAGAAGACCCATGGGAAACACATCACAGTGTGTGGCACACAATAATTACTCAGTATTGGCGATTTTAATGTGTTCTCCTGGGGCACGTACCTTCCCATATATCAGTTGTGTTTTTTCCATTTATTTGTAATTATATGTCTGCTGCCTCTCCCCTACTAGACTATAACCTCTATAAGGGCAGTGCTTTGTCCTATTTTTCTTCTTTTTGTGCCCTGGAAGCCTACTACAGCACCTAAATAAATATGTAGAATAAGTGAAATGTGGTATGCCCTTTTGTTTAGTTTTAAATCTCAGTTAGATTGTAGTCTTTTTTTTTAAAGTTATAGATCGATTTTAGAGAGGAAGAGAAACATAGATTTGTTGTTCTACTTATATGTGCTTTTATTATATGTGCTCTGACTAGCAATTGAACCTGCAATCTTGGCATATCAGAGGATGATGTTCCAACCAACTGAGCTACCTGGTCAGGGTCAAGATTGTAGTCTCCTTGATAGCAGAGGTCGCATACTCTCGGTCTCTAATGGTACCTTATATGGACTTGGACACATAGTATGTCTGCCTATCTTACAAGGTTTTGGGAAGGATCAGACGAGATATGTTTTGAAAAAATAGGACACCTTTGTTTGTATAATGTTTTCCAGTTCACAGAGCACTTTGCATTATCTTACTTAATCTTTGCCACAAACAAAGGAGATAATTATTATCATCTCCATTTTACTAGGGCTCAGGAGGCTACAAGTTTACATGATTACAAAACTAAGAAGGAAGGAAAGATGCATCCTTGGACTACAGATTCAATGTATTTTCCCCCCATTTTAAACCATTCACTGACTAAACGAGAATGATATGCAATTTTCAAGTATTACTTTATCGTTTTAGATAGTTTTTTTTCCCCTTTCTGATTTGAGATTTCATGTTTGGAATAATTGTTAAAGCAGAGGGGTTGATAAATGAATTCATGTTTGCTGCTGTTTATCATTCTCCAGTTCTTTAAAATTTATCCATAACCTTCCTATCTCCCTTTGCTCAGGGCCCAGATATTACACTGACTAAACTGTACAAGTTAATTGAAGAATCTTGTCCTCAGCTTGCAAATTCAGTACAAATCAGGTAAACATTTTTTTCTCTATATATGAAAAGTTGTCAAAGTAGATGTAAAATGGAAAAGTGCACATGTTAATTAATTATTTTAAAAAGATATCTTTGTTCTTTTAGGTTGTTTAATTTTTTTGAAAAATGGTTAACATGAAATGTACTGCTTCAAAATTTATTTTTTCAATCTACCTTTTCCTTTTTTTAATTATTTTTTAATCCTCACTGAGGATATTTTTCCATTGATTTTTAGAGAGAGTGGGAAAGAGAGGAAAAGACAGAGAGAAATATTGATGTGAGAGAAACACATCAATTGGTTGCCTCCGGCATGTGCCTGACCAGGGCCCGGCCCTAGGAGAAGCCTGCAGCTGCGGTACATGCCCTTGACTGGACTTGAACCTGGGACCCTCCGGTCTGCAGGCCCGATGCTCTATCTACTGAGCCAAACCGGCTTCGGGCTACCTTTTCCTTTTTGTTTTGTTTTGTTTTGTTTTGTTTCTGGCGCCCATGACCGGAATCGAACCTGGGACCCTTGGGTCCACAGGCCAACGCTCTATCCACTGACCCAAACCAGTCAGGGCTACCTTTTCCTTTTTAATTGTTGCAGAGAATTCCAATTTTTTTGGCTGACAAGTTTTATGATCAAGAAAACATCAGCAATGATACTTTTCAGAATATGGGAATGACATTTTGGATGATTAAGTTTGTTTTATGTGCCACCATTTTTATGTGAAACTCTGAATTGCTTTTAAATATATTTATTTTAGGTAAATATTTGAAACATGGGAAGGTGTTCAAAGGGCCTACTTAAAATACACACCTCAATTTTCTCATTCAGAATCAAACTGATGGCTGAAGGCGAATTGAAGGATATGGAACAATTTTTTGATGACCTGTCAGATTCTTTTTCTGGAACTGAACCAGAGGTTCACAAAACAAGTGTAGTAGGTATGAAGTTCTTCTGAGGAGAGCAGAGAATATGTTCATTGAAGTGAGCAGCTTTCTAGATCACATCTGTCATTACTCTGCAGTATCTGAACAAATACATGTTTTTCATTTGTGTTTATTGCCTTGCCATTTTGATCTGTGTTTAAACAATTGTCTTGTGGAAAAGACAAGTTTTGTCTATGATATCAAAGGTATTGGTCTGGTCTGGGGGGCTCTTAGGGTTTCTCAGTTCTTTCTCATAGCCCTCTGGGTCACTTGTCTGCATTTCATAACTCTTAAGTCAGGGTCATCAACTAAACTTCTATGAAGAGAAGTAAGTAAATTTTAAGGTGAGGGCAAATGTGACATCTTTTGATGCTTTTCTCTTGGCTTTATATCCATGCTCTATCCACCTGGCTTTATTTCATAGTAGTATTTGTTATTCAATATCAGTTATTTATTGATAACTTAACTTCTATCCTATGTGCCAGGATGTGGACTTAAGAGATAGACATGGACCTTCTTTTTTATTTTTTTAATCTTAACTTGAAGATATGTTTATTGATTTGAGAGAGAGAGAGAGAGAGAGAAAGAAAGAAAGAAACATTGATTGGTTGCCTCTCGTATGTGCCCCAACCAGGGATGAAACTGCAACCTAAGAATGAGCCCTCACCGGGAATCAACCTGATACCTTTAGGTATACAGGAGGACACTCCAACCAACTGAGCCACACTGACCAGGGCTGGAGTTTCCTCTTTTTTTTCATTTCCATATATTTTTATTGATTTCAGAGAGGAAGGAAGAGGGAAAGAGAGATAGAAACTTCAATGATGAGAATCATTGATCAGCTGCCTCCTGCATGCCCTCTACTCGGGATCGAGCCCACAACCTGGGCATATGCCCTTGACTGTAATTGAACCCGGACCCTTCAGTCCACAGGCTGATGCTCTACCCACTGAGCCAAACCAGCTAGCACTGGACCTTCTTTTTTATGGAGATTGCATTTGAGTAGGGTAGGGCCAGATGAAAAAAAGTAAATAAATAAGATAATTTCAGATAGTTATAATAGTCAAGAAAAAAATATATTGTGTGGATAACGATGGTGGAATGTGGGTGTGAGCACTGGGCCCTCAATAAGAAGAAACCAGATTTGTAAAGAGTGGGGAAGAACATTCTAGGCAGAAGGAATAGCAACTTCAAGTGTCTTTTTTTTTTTATTCTTTTGAAGGAAGAATTGCAACAAACAGTCATCAAATTTGTGTATCCCAATTTCATTTAATGCCTTCACCTTGTCTGTGTCTTATTTTGTAGGCTTATTTCTGCGTCACATGATCTTGGCCTACAGTAAGCTTTCTTTTAGCCAAGTGTTTAAACTGTACACTGCCCTTCAACAGTACTTCCAAAATGGTGAGAAAAAGACAGTGGAGGATGCTGATATGGAACTGACCAGCAGAGAAGAGGGCGAAAGAAAAATGGAAAAAGAAGAACTTGATGTGTCCATAAGGTAACTTGGGTTTTTCGGACAGGGGTCCCTTTCCTGCGAAATAGCACAGTAAATAATTGGAGCAAACCAGCAACCTTGGCGTATTAGAACAATGCTCTAATCCAGTGGTCGGCAAACTCATTAGTCAACAGAGCCAAATATCAACAGTACTTCTTCAAAACAGACTCGCCCAGGCCGAAAACCGACTTCTGCGCATGGGCCACGAAGTTTCAATCGCACTGTACGTGCGCCCGCACATGGTATTTTGTGAAAGAGTCACACTCAAGGGGCCAAAGAGCCGCATGTGGCTTGCGAGCCGCAGTTTGCCGACCACGGCTCTAATCCACTGAGCTTCCTGGCCAGGGCCTGGTTATAGGAGCAAGATTACAGTACTATTAACTCCTTCCAAAACCTCATCACTTAGAGTTGTCTATAAAGGCTTCTCATCTCTTGGAAAGGCAGTACAGTATGGGGTGAAGGGTCTGGCACTAGAGTCAGAATCCTGGGTATGAATCCTTGTTCCTTCCCTTATTCCCTGTGAGGCCTTGGGCCAGTTACTCAGCTCCTCTGTGTTTCAATTTCTTGATCTGCAAAATGGGAAGGATATCACCTCCTCAGAGGGTTAATGTAGGAATTAAATGATAAATTTATATAAAGTGTTTAGAACTGTTCCTGGTATGTGGCAAACATTCAACAACTATTCACTGTTCTTCTCTAATTTCTCTTCTAGTTAAGTCCCCTAAGGAAGGCTTCCAAGCAACAGTATGATCTTTGTTTGAGCTACTCTATAAGCTTCAAGTAGTAGAATGTCACTTCTTTAGAAATGTTAAAATTCAGACTTTTCATATTATGGTTTGGTTTTCTCCTAAATTTATCTGATTTAATTAGGTCTAATCGCATCTTTTTGTTTTTATCCTATTCTAAGAATTCATTTGCGTGTAAGCCAGTGTATTTACTGTTAAGGTGCATGGTTTCAGAGAATAGTGTATATTTAGTAAACTGAATTCCTCACTGATATGAATGATATTCTTTAAAAGTTATTATAATTAAGTATTATGCTTTGTCCAAAAAGAAATGCTTTTACTTGTTATAGGATATTTCTTTACTTTGCAAGATATATTTTATACACTTCTTGATTCTTTTAAAAAGGAAAATTTCCATTTTTTCTCTTTTTGTGATTTTTCTAATGTTTTATTGTGTTATCAGAAGTTTCTCACTTTAGCCCTTTCTATTTTTTTTATTTATTTATAGTTATTGGAATGATTTTAGGTATGTTTTTTTCAGGGAAATTATTTTTCTTGCCCTAGAAATTTGTATTAAAATTAGAAAGGAGAAAGTATTATTGAATAGCCTACAAATCTCCCATCTTACAATGAAATCATTCCTATTTAAAAGTGAGAACCTAACTGGTAATTTAGAAGGGAGAGACTAAATATCTTTCAGGTGTTTTTAAAAATCCACGTACAGACGGAAGCGCAAACTGAAATTTAGCTTCAGCTTTTTATTTGCTCGTTGTTGCCAAGGGGCAGCTCTGTGTCCTGCGGTAAGAAATCAGGCTGACAGGATCACAGCTCGTCAGGCGGCAGTGGAGCCTGCTAGCCTTCCTGCTGCTGGAAGCGGTCTCTCTGTGGACCCCGCCAAAGCAGAAATTCTCTGGTTTTCCTTCACCTGCCAGAGATCTGATATAAATCTCCCAAATTCATTAATGTTCAAAAATACTTATCAAGTGCTTCCTGTGTGCCAGGCACTGTGAGGGGCTGTGCTGTCAGCGAAAAGGGAGGTGGAGGGTCAGGTAGTAGGTAACTGAAAGAAGAAGTAGTGTAATTTCGGAGACAGTAGGACACAAGGATAGAAAATGGCTGTGGGGTGCTCTTTGGGAAGGTCTCTCTCTCTCTCTTTTTAAATACATTTTTATTGATTTCAGAGAGGAAGGGAAAGGGAAAGATAGATAGAAACATTGATGATGAACCCTAACCGGTTTGGCTCAGTGGATAGAGCGTCGGCCTGCGGACTCAAGGGTCCCAGATTCGATTGCCGTCAAGGGCATGTACCTTGGTTACGGGCACATACCCAAGTAGGGAGTGTGCAGGAGGCATCTGATCGATGTTTCTCTCTCATCGATGTTTCTGACTCTCCCTTTCTCTCTGTAAAAAAAAAATCAATAAAATATATTTTTTAAAAAAATAGAAACATCAATGATGAGAGAATCATCGTTCTGCTACATCCTGCACGCCCCCCACTGGGGATTGAGCCTGCAACCCAGGCATGTGCCCTGACTGGGAATCAAACCGTGACCTCCAGGTTCATAGGTCAACGATCAGTTGCTGAGCCACACAGGCCGGGCTGGGAAGGTCTCTAGAAGACTGGGAGCTCGGTGACGAAGGAGCGAGTCCTGAGAAGAATTGCCAGAGCACATGGCAGACACGGAGCCCCCAAGTCAGGACAAGCTGACATATTGGAGGGACAGACAGAAGGAGGGGCTGGGTCACACCCTCTGGTCACACACTTGGGAAGGGCTCAGGTCCTCATGGCCTTAGATGTTTAGTAACTGTTCTCTCTCTCAGTCTCTCCTCTTCCCTGATTTTGACCTGTCACTACGTCACTCAGAAATCTCCAGAGATTCCACAGATTCTCCCCACCTGGTGTTTGAGGCCTCCACAATCGATCTTTCTGACCTTACCTTCTGTCCTTGGCTTGGATCCTTTACCCTCACTAGCCAGGTCTGCTTGTATGCCCCCAGGCCTTTTCCCTTTCTGTCTCTCTTGTTTTCTTTTCCTGGAATGCCTTCCTCCTTCCTCATCATTTTCCCCACTCCTTACCAACTTTCCAGTTCCTCACCTCTCCGGCTGGAGTAATTTCTCCCTTTTATAAGTACAGAGTCCATACTCATCCTTGATATTTATCGTTTACTGTCATCTTTGCACCTGGGCTGGTCCTAGCCTTTACCAAGACTATAGACCAAGCATGCCAAACTCGCTGGCGACCATTAAGATTTTGTATCCCCCCCCCCCCCCAGGGCCTTGATTGGTGTTTTATGCCTTGCACATACTTTAAAAAACAAACAAAAAAACCAATCCTTGCTGTTTGATTAATCCTATGTAAAATTCAAATATAGTGGTAGATTTGAGCCCTTTAGAGCAGTTTACAGGCTTCTTTTAAGAATCTGATGAATGCCATGTACTATCTCTACATTAAAAATGTACATTCATGCTTACCTGGCAGGGAAGGTACCATGATCATGAAGGTGGTTTTCCCAGGGCGAGGCTTAGCCATTGCACTCCAGATGTGCTGACCCTGTGGTTTCCCCAAATGTGGGAAACTCAGCTGCATCATTTGTGATCTTGGAGAGCTGTGTTCGTGCTGTCTGCTGGACAGAAAAAGCACATTCATGCAAACTTTGCATGCAGTTTTATAAGGACCATGGACTCCTAGCCCAGGGGTGGGCAAACTTTTTGACTCGAGGGCCACAATGGGTTCTTAAACTGGACCAGAGGGCCGGAACAAAAGCATGGATGGAGTGTTAGTGTGAACTAATATAAATTCAAAGTAAACATCATTACATAAAAGGGTACGGTCTTTTTTTTTTTAGTTTTATTCATTTCAAACGGAGGCCGTAGTTTGCCCACGGCTGTTCTAGCCCATCCATGAATCCAGGTTAAGTGCCCTTGAGTTATAGCACTAGGAAGCCAAAAAGTCTGTCTCAGCTGATAATTGGATTCATAAACAAGGTATACTAGAGCCCTTTTTCTAAATGGAATACCTCTATTGCTTCTGAAGGGCTACTTTCCCCTCCATGTATTTGTGAGGCTCTGAGGAAGCAAAGGAAGGGTCAGTGAAGGGTGCCTTGGGCCACGGTATTTTTATTTGCTCTTCCCAAGCTTGTTCATTCATGTCGGCCACGGTTGCCAGTATGGGAGCCAGAGCCAAATTTATAATAACTTCATTTATAATAACTCTATTTGTCTTCACTTGTAGCCATTTTCCTTTGTGTCATTTTGATTTTCTCACATATTGCTCCCATGTCCTTTGTTATAAGCCAGCCTAAATCTGTTTTTGGGGAATGGGGTTAAGTAAATAAGTAATTTGGCACTACTGAGTGTCATGGACTTCAGAGGAGAATGGGACAGTGGTGGTGTGTCCAGTTTCCTTCGGAGTCTCATCTGTCTCTAGCCTTTTTGTGTGCAGCCATATTTATTTCAAACCTTGGGTTTATTTTGTTTAAGGGATATGTTAAGAGAAAAGGGCTTGTTGCCTAGACACTTAACTGTTTTCCATTTGAGAACTTGGCCTGTGAAATTTTTTTCCATTTCCCTCTAGGTCACCACTGTGTCACTGATCTTTGTTAGGCCTGGGTCAGGGCTGGTTCTTGGCAGCTCCAATATTTGCAAGAGCTGACCCACTGCCTTGGGGATGGTTAGGTAATATTCATCAGAAATGGAATTAGGAGAATATTAGAGCAGCTCTTCCAAAGTGTCTTCTGTGAGATGCTAGTGCTTCTTGAGAGGCATGAGGAAAGGATCCTTTGTGCAAGTGAGGTTGGTAAATGGTACGTTAGGTAAAAGTGAAGTTTCTTTCTGCTGGATTTCTCTAATGAATCATGAATCTCCAAGCAAGATGGAATATATACACCTTTCCTCAAATGCTTTAACCTCAGAATTTTCTTAGGATATCCATTTACATACAGTTTGCATGAAACAGTTTGAGATCTGCTGTAATTGACACAGAGTGCTTATACAAATACTATTTATGAGTAAATATTGATTTTATACTTACTGTAATCCTATTTAGAGAAGACTTTCTTCAGTGATAAAACAGTAATATTCATACTTTGACCTCAAAACAAGATTGTTTTATACTGTGCATGTATAGATTTGTCAAGTCTAGGTTTATATTAGTACATTTCTTTTTTTTTTTTTTTTAAATATATTTTATTGATTTTTTACAGAGAGGAAGGGAGAGAGATAGAGAGTTAGAAACATCGATGAGAGAGAAACATCGATCAGGTGCCTCCTGCACATCTCCTACTGGGGATATGCCCGCAACCCAGGTACATGCCCTTGGCCGGAATCGAACCTGGGACCTTTCAGTCTGCAGGCCAACGCTCTATCCACTGAGCCAAACCGGTTTCGGCATATTTCTTGATTATCAGTTCTGTGTAATCTAAGCTTCTAGGCAAATGGTTATTTCTTAGGTGAAGCCTCCTTTTCCTGCCTTTGAATACAACACCATCTTGACTCTGTAGCATGGAGTTAGAAACTCTTCATTTATTTCCCAAAATCTGAGTGTGTCTACATATAGCCCTGGTTATTCACATACAAATGCAGGTAAGAACAGCCCAGCTCGGCAGTGCATAGGTGCTATGATAAGCATCTAGGAGCCAGTGGGACCTCAAATGAGACATGTCAGGAGAGCTTGGAGGCTGTGACTCATGTAATTTTGAATGATGGATGGTGTCCAGTAGTCCAATAGTAGGTGGGCAGGTGGGCTCTGCAGGATGTGGAAGCAGCAGGGGCACCTTATCATGACAGGAGACCTGTAAGGTGTTCATGAGGGCTGGGGTGTAGGTGACAAAGAGAAGGCAAAGGAGAGGCAGGAGGTGGGATCACCCATGAAGCACTGCACCTGCCCCGCTAAGCAGCGTGGACTTTATTTTGGAGGTGATGGGGTACCACTGAAGGGCTTAAAATCAGGGATAGCATGATAGATTTGCATTTTAGAAAGATCTGCTGAGAGCTGTGTAGAATTTAGGTCTATATTTGTCCACGATCATTGTGAACTTTGTCAGGTCATTCAACATCATTTTTTAAGTATGTCTTTTCTATTTCTGAGAGGAGAGAATTAGTTGTAAAAGTTTTTGGCCCTGGCCAGATGCCTCAGTGTTTAGAGTGTTGTCCTGATATGCCAAAGTTAACCGTCAGGGCACATACAAGGATCAACCAATGAATACATAAGTGGAACAACGAATCATTGCTTTCTCTCTCTCTCTCTCTCTCTCTCTCTCTCTCTCTCTCTCTCTCTCTCTCTCTATCTCTTTCACTCTCACTCCCTCACTGTCTCCTTAAAATCAGTCAGTTAAAAAAACGTGTCTTAACTCTTCTGATAAAGAATCTGACTTTGTAAGCATTATCATTTTTGCTATGGTGTATTATATGTATTTATTATTTTTGTTTTATATTTTGTAGAGAAGAGGAGGTATCTTGCAGTGGGCCCCTGTCCCAAAAACAAGCGGAGTTTTTTCTTTCTCAACAGGTGATGTTAATTCTCTAATTTATCATAAACTTAAAAAAAAATCATCTGATGTTGTTTGTCATGGCATATGCCTGTTATGTTGGTGGGTTTCTTGGTAATTCTGCATTATCCCTTGTTCTTGGCCCACTTTTCTTCACTAACAACGCTGTTACTTCCTATTTTGTAGTTTTAGTTTTTGATTAAAGTTCTAATGCAGGTTCATTCAATAATGGTTCATGACTAACACAGCCAAAAATGTGATTTAGGAGATGTGCTTCCCTTTCCCCAACATTTTATTATGGACATTAAAAGAAAAAAATTGAAAAGCATTTTACAGTGAATATCCATATACTCTTCATCTGTTTCCTATAGTTAATATTTTTCTCTGTTCAGCACATATCTACCCATCCTCTATCCGGCCACCATTTCTTTTATTTATTTTTTTTATGCATTTCAAGTTGCAGATATCAGTGCACTTCATCCCAAACATTTAAAAAATATATATATATATTCTTATTGATTTCAGAGAGGAAGGGAGAGAGAGGGAGATAGAAACTTCAATGATGAGAGAGAATCATTGATCGGCTGCCTCCTGCACGCTCCCTACTGGGGATTGAGCCCACAAGCCAGGCATGTGTCCTGACTGGAAATCAAACCCTGACCTCCTGATTCATAGCTTGACGCTCAACCCCGGAACCACACTGACTGGGCGGTCCCAAACATTTTTTGTTGGTGGTTTTAAGGCAGACTCTTTCATTTTCTCAGTAACATAAGCTAAACATTTTTCTCCCATGTTATCTTCAAGCAGACTTTTGATTTTTTGTTAGACTTTTCTAGTTTTCCCTGATTTTGTCCTTAAATTTCTTTCTGCAGAAAAATGTAGTGATCTAGCTAAAAGTGATAGGAACATACCTGCAGATGAATTTTAAACAAATTAGAAAAACTTGTCTAGCTATCAAGGAGAAAATATAGGTGGAGCCTCACCTTGTCCTCACACCTTAGTATATTACAGGTGGATTAAAGGGGCAAATGTAAATATTTAAAGCTGTAATTAAACTAGAAGGAACTACAATATTAAATTTTAACTGATTTATGGATGGGGAAAGACTTTCTAAACATAAAAGCTGTGGAAGTAACATGTAGGAGAAGATAATTTGATTTTTTTAGCATGAAAATAAAAAATGTCTGCATGTTAGAACACGTTCTAACAAGATTAAAAGGCAAACAACAAAATGGGGAAAGTATTTGCAATGAATATGACAGTCAAAGGGTTAATAGTTTTGTTTTAAGAATCATTTGTAGCCCTAACTGGTTTGGCTCAGTGGCTAGAGCGTCGGCCTGCGGACTGAAGGGTCCCAGGTTCGATTCCGGTCAAGGGCATGTACCTTGGTTGGAGGCACCTCCCCAGGAGGGGGTGTGCAGGAGGCAGCTGATCGATGTTTCTGTCTCATCATTGATGTTTCTAACTCTCTATCCCTCTCCTTCCTCTCTGAAATCAATATAGATATTTAAAAAATACATATATATATATTTAAAAAAAATAATCATTTGTAAAGACTACTTAATAATGAGACAGAGTTTGTAATATTAAATGAAAAGAGCACGAAGTAAAATTATGTATTCTAACTTTGTTAAAAATATGGTGTGTGTATATATGTATACAGATACATATACATATATACATACATAGAAAAAATATGCACTGGAATAAGATACACAGAAGAATTAATAATAGTGTTATTTCTGGGTGGAGGGATTACAGATGACTTTTGTTTTCTGTATGCTTTTCAATAGTTTTAGAATCTTCTGTAATGATATAATGAATTAAAATGGAATTAGAAATTATTATTACTTATAAAGAAAAATTTGTCTAGGTAGAATTGAATTAAGTGTCTATAACCCAGTTAAGTACTAATATTTAATTTGAAACTAGTTTTCTACATATCTTATGTAATGGTTGCTTACTGTCATTCTTGTGAAACAGTTAACCAGACGAGGTGCACCTGAGTGCCATAAGGCCCTCTGCTCTGTTGGAGATGCACACTGCCTGCTGTGAAGGTGCTCACAGTCTGGATTGAGGCCAGACTGGCATTTTTAATACATCTTAATAGGAACTACAAGAATGGTTAGAACAGGGGTCCTTGTAGGATCTTACCTGGTCTAGGTGGTGATAGAAGCAGGTGGCTGGTGAGGTCTGAATTAGGGCTGGAAGGATGAGCAGAAATTTGCATGGGAGGAGTGTGTGTATGGGGAGTATGTGGATGGGGAGGCTTACTGTTTCAGCAAGAGGAACAGTGTTCTGTAGGGTCAAGAGGAGAGAGTAGCTATGGAAAAGAAAATAACCAGCTGATGCTGTTGACTATAACATTTCCATGTATTTCTTTCTACTGAATTGTCATGTTTCGATTTCAGGCCTCTTTGTTAAAGAATGATGAAACTAAGGCCCTCCCTCCAGCTTCTTTGCAGAAAGAATTGAACAACTTGTTGAAATTTAATCCTGATTTTGCTGAAGCGGTGAGTCTTTTCCAGAATTTGTTCCTGAGTTGAAAAAATAATGGCGAAGCTACTCTTATGTTCAGTAGCCACGCAAATGAGGATCCATCCATGCTTTTGGAGAGAAATCATGTTGGCAAGTGAGCAACCCAGCTTAGGTTGTAAAACTGCCCTTCGCACTCATTCAGTCTAGTGATGTTTTTTTCCTTTCATCATCTCTCTGATGTTGTGAATTATGGGCAAAGATAGAGTAGACTGAGTATTTATTTTATTTTATTTTTTTAGAGAAAGAGGAAGGGAGACAGAGAGAGAAACATCAATGTAAGAGCAAAACATCAATTGGCTGCCTCCCATACGCCCCTACTGGGTATTGAGCCCGCAATGGGCATGTGCTCTGCTGGGAATCCAACCGGCAACCTTTCAGTGCATGGGACCACACCCAACCAAGTGAGCCACACCGGCTAGGGCAGAGTAGACGGAGTTTTTAAAATCTTTGGGGCCTGTCTTGGCCAGGTGGCTTGTTAGGTTAGAGTATTGTCCCAAATACACTAAGGTTTCAGGTTCAATCCCTGGTCAGGGCACATACAAGAATCAACCAGTGAGTCCAGTCAATGTGGCTCAGTGGTTGAGCATCAGCCCATAAACCAAGATGTCCCCTTTTTGATTCCTGGTCAGGGCACATGCCCAGGTTGCGGCTCGAGTCAATGGGTGGATGTCTCTGTCAATGTTTCTATCTCTCTATCCCTCTCACCTCCTTTCTCTCTAAAAAAATCAATAAAATATATATATTTTTAAAAGATCCATCCAATGAATGCATAAATAAGTGGAACAACAAATTGATATTTCTGTCTCTCTGTCTCTCTGTCTCTCTCTCTCTCTAAAATCAGTTAAAAAAAATTAGGGGCTAAAAATTTGTTCCTTTCCCCACTTTTGTCAGTGTGTGTGTTTTTTTTTTTAAGTTTAAAAATCATTCCATTCCTTAATGGATTTTTACCCTCAAACCTGGATTTGACATTTGACTTTATTCACATGTTGAAAGATATATGTTTGGTTCCCTAGTAACTGGGATCTGCCTGTTTGGAGGGAAGTTTATTTATTTATTTATTTATTTATTTATTTATTTATTTATTTTTAAAATTTTCTTATTTTTTGTTAATCCTCACCTGAGGATATTTTTCCATTGATCTTTTAGAGAGAGTAGAAGAGAGAGGGAAAGACAGAGAGAAACAACCATGTGAGAGAAACACATCGATTGGTTGCCTCCTGCATGCGCTCTAACCAGGGCCCAGTCTGGGGAGGAGCTTGCAACCAAGGTACGTGCCCTTGACCGGAATTGAACCCAGGACTCTTCGGGCCCCAGGTCGATGCTCTATCCACTGAGTCAAACTGGCTAGGACTAGAGGGAGATTTAATTCAGTGAAGCAAACAAAATGAAAACAGTTTCAAAATAGAATATAATTAGCTCAGTAAACTTTTTAAATACCTGAGCTAAGTGAGTTCTCCCCTCCACCCTCACATGGGTCCTAATATAACCAGTGACAGAGTGGATGTATATTTAGGATAAAATGCTGACACAAGTGCTAATGGAACTCCGGTTTTTTCATTTGGGGACCCCTCCTGGTGAGAAACCAATGTATCTTGAACCTGCTTTATTCTGCCTGTGGGGAAAAGGTGAATCTAAACGATGACCCTATTGCTAGAAGGGTGGGGGATACGTGGATGTTCGCAGCCAGTGGAACGGAATTAGTCTTACACAAGAGGGAGCGGGACATTTACACTGTGTGGGTTGTTTCTTGTTGTAGCATTATCTCAGCTACTTAAACAACCTCCGGGTCCAAGATGTGTTTAGTTCTACACACAGCCTCCTGCATTACTTTGACCGCCTGATTCTTACGGGAGCCGAGAGCAAAAGTAACGGGGAAGAGGGCTACGGCCGGAGCTTGAGATACGCTGCTCTGAACCTGGCCGCCCTGCACTGCCGCTTCGGACACTAGTAAGTTTATAGATTTGTATCCGTGCAGAAATAGGAGACATGAACTTCCAAATGTTAATTAACATGAATTTTTTAAAATGCTGTATTTAAAAGAAGGATAAACAGGAAAGAAAGAAAGGAAGCTGACTGTTTGACTAGACTTGTCAGTAACTTCCAAAAGGGAAGCTTTTTCACTGGACAGAAGTTAATGAAAACCTTCTCCTTTTACAGTCTGCCCCCTGGTGCCACTATGTAACATGGCTGTCTTAGTACATGGCCTCTTTCTTTCATTACTTCTAAGAACGACAGCCATTGAATTAAAAGATAATTAGGTCATTAGGCCAGAGATTCCCAAAAGAATTTTTTGGGGATAATAATGAGGATACAAAAGCTATTTTCAGTATTTCAAAAAGCCAAAAGAAAGCTGTGTCTTTACTGGATAAAAGACTGGTCTGGCTTATTAAAAGTCATGTTTGTGCTTTCGGATAAAATTCAGACAGCTCAGTGAGATGACATTTGGCTTATGCCGTTGCTAAGATATGCCTATGATTTTGATGAATAAAAATAGGAAAACTGTCCAGCTGGTGTGGTTTAGTGGTTGAGCGTCTACCTATGAACCAGGAGGTCACAGTTCAAGTCCCGGTCAGGGCTCTATCCCCAGTAGGAGGAGTGCAGGAGGCAGCCAATCAATGATTCTCTATCATCACTGATGGTTCTCTCTCCCTTCTTTTCTCTTCCTCTCTGAAATAAAATTATTTTGTAAATGGAGTTAAGTGGATAAAATCTTTCGAAACATGGAGGCTATTTTGGAAACAATGAGATAATGTGAATAATGGTGAAAAGGTAGGAAATTACTAGTCGAAAGAGTGTCGTCGCCCCTGTGGCTTTTTCTGGAAGAAAGGTGGTTTCTGCTACTGGCATCTTTGACTAGAGACTCTAGAGCAGGGGTGGGCAAACTTTTTGACTCGAGGGCCACAATGGGTTCTTAAACTGGACCGGAGGGCCGGAACAAAAGCATGGATGGAGTGTTTGTGTGAACTAATATAAATTCAAAGTAAACATCATTACATAAAAGGGTACAGTCTTTTTTTTTTTTTAGTTTTATTCATTTCAAACGGGCCAGATCCGGCCCGCGGGCCGTAGTTTGCCCACGCCTGCTCTAGAGTGTATTAATAGAAGCAATGTCCAGAATTCAAGAATTGAGAGTTCTGCACTTGCTGTATGGCCCGGACAACACCCAAAAAATTCTATTAACTTCTGGTTGTTGCATTTTAAAAGGGACGTAGACTGGAGCTTGTGTGTGGGCCAGTCTTTGAATACCTCATCGGAGCATTCAAAGCCATGTCGTATAAATAATATGGAAATATTCTGTTACTGAAAATTTTTACCAGAGGTTTTTCTGCCTAGCAGCAGTGAAAAGCCATAAAGTCCTTTGAGGATTTTGCCTGACTTTGTGTTTCTGTGTTGGTAATCTACCTTTTCTTCCTAACTGGGAAAAATAATCTCTCTTTAGTCGTTGTAGTATACAGTTCTCCCAGAAGCCATTTCTCTAAACATACCATTATTTGTTTGGTCATCACATGTTCAATAAAGTTAAATCAACCGATATTTATTGGTGCCTGTGTGTGAAGACATGCTTCCTGCCCTCAAATAGCCCATGTTCTGCTCATCTCATTACTGAAGGGATGTAAATGACGTGTAAACTAGGTAGGGATGTATCTGGGTTTTGCATTTAAACAAGTAGTTACTTGGAACAGTTCAGTTCTCCCCAATTAAAATGAATTGTGTGAGGCTATTGCACTGGTGTTGAAAGAATATTCCTTATATAAATTTTTCTCTAAAGAAGTGATACCCATAAAATTGATTTTAAGATACTTAGTGACCCAGCATTGATAAGATTTCTATTATGTCACTTGCCACTGAAAAGCCCAAAGTTTAAGACTTTACTTGTGCTCTCTATGGTTAATAAACTAGTTGAAAAAAATAGTTAGCACTGATTAAATAAACAGTAGTATTTAACTATGCACTGCAAGATGGGGTACAGATAGCACTTATGTGGGAATTTTCACAAGTGCGAGTTCAGTGGGGCCAAGAATATTTGACTGAATTTCTGCAGAAGTTGAGAGGGTGGGAGAGACATCAGAGATGAAGGGGAACTACATGAGCAGAAAAAAGGAATCTCAGAAGTGGGTAATCCTCAAAATACTTTTTAAAACTAGTTTTGAAAAAGTATAGAAGCATCAAATGCTATAGTAAAAAAAAAAATTTTAATAATGCAGAAGGGAATGCAATGAAAAGTAAAATATCATATTCTCTCTGTGCCTCTTCCCTGGCCTTAATAGTTAAAATAAAACTCTTAGCAGCTGAGATCAAGAAAAGCTATTCCTCGATGCTCCTTTTAGTAGAAATCCACCTTAGAAGGGGCAGGTTCTATATGTCCACTATTAATGTTTCTTGCTGCTGGGGCAAGGGACTGCCTCTGAGGGAATAAGTCCATAGCTACAGCTTCCAAAGCAGAGACCTGCTCTTAAATGAATTACTGTACAGATGTTTTCCTGCTTCCGTTACTTGTGCATGTTTGTGATTGTTAATGAGATATTAATGTTCAGTCTGTCATTAGTCAACAGGCAGAGCTCGCCCTGCAGGAGGCAATCAGGATCGCCCAGGAGTCCAACGATCACGTGTGTCTCCAGCATTGCCTGGTAAGGCCACCCTCCTGCCTTGGGAATTCTGCCCATGGGTTGAGTTGGCCTTTGGAAGGCCTGATTTGAATCAGACTGTTTTGTAGTCAGAGCAAAGGTTCTTAGCAGTGACAGGAAACTAGTTAGGAAGTCGTGGTAATTCAGGAAAGGCAGCCCATATTTGTTTATTTCTTAATTCATGACATTTGTTTGGCTTTGGTGGTGATTCTTTTTTTAAAATATATTTGTATTGACTTTTAGAGAGAGAGAGAGGAAGGAAGAGGAAGAGAGAGATAGAAACATCAATGATGAGAGAGAATTATTGATTAGCTGCCTCCTGCATGCCTCCTACCAGGCGTGCAGCCCAGGCATGTGCCCTGACCGGGAATCGAACCAGGGACCTCTTGGTTCATGGTTCAATGCTCAACCACAGAGCCAAACCAGCCAGGCTTGATCTTATCTACAAATTTTAGTACAATGTAAACTATCACATTAACCTTATAACTGGATGAGATGTTATCCTGTGAAAGCATAACCACCAAGCACAAGTAGAACACAGAATTTATTTAACCATCACTTTGAGACTCACTTTTTCAATTAAAGGCCATATGGGGGTTTCATGCTTTTTTTCTAGAACCTTGCCACTCATTGCTCTCAAAGGTGAAGAAAATCAATGGCTTGTCTGATAGTTTTCATGTGTTTGATGGGCTTCATTTTGGTTCATGCTTCATGAAAGAGTATGTTCGAGGATTTATTTTGTTCCTTTTAATTCTTATTTACAACCATATTGATAGTTCAATAGAACATTACCCATGGTTATTGTTAGGGTATATGTTAATGATTTCTCTTACCAGAGCTGGCTCTACGTGCTGGGGCAGAAGAGATCCGATAGCTATGTTCTGCTAGAACATTCTGTGAAGAAAGCAGTGCATTTTGGGTTACCGGTAAGGCTCATCTTTCTGTGAGATTATTTAAATAAATGGTGTGGTTTTATTCTTGGTAGTTTCATATGATCTTAATTATTAATTAAACACTAAATTCTGTTTTATAGGTTTCTCTCTGTTCCCTTTATCCTAATAACATCTGTGAAAATTCCATTGATCAATTTGATGGCATTGTTTTTAGTTTATTGATCCATATTAACGTCCCCATATTTACTTAGAAATTTTTCAGGAAAGGCTTACTTTTAAAACAGGGATTGGTTTAAATGTTACAGCCCTAGAGCCCAATCTGGCTGCTGCTTGCTCATATGTGGCCCTCGGGCTAGGAATGAGTTTTACATTTTTAAATAGTTGGAGGGAAAACTAACAAAGAAGAATATGCAACAGACGCCAGATGTGGTCTGCAAAACCCAAGTTATTTACTCTCTGGCCCGTAAGAGAACAAGTTTGCTGATCCTTGTTTTAACAATAAACAGAGCTAGGAACCAGCAAACCTGATAGGCAGATTTTTCCTTTCTCATTTTGAGTGACAGGGAAGGACCTGAATTATCGTCCTCAATGATAGATATCGAGGGACATTGAAAGGGCATAGTCTCCACGCATGAAGTAGTAATGGCTCTTAGCATCTAGATTAATGTTGCTTCAAGAACTTTATTCCATCTCAAAAACCACCCACTGAAACCTGGACTGTAGGCAGTGTGACTGCTTAAGCATCTGTCTCATATAGTTTGCAACAAGTTCCAGGAAAATTGGAAGTAATCATATGCAGTCACTTAAAGTATATGCTTTTCAAATCTGCAAATTGTACACTTGACTCATTTCTGGGGAAGGAAAGTTACATGTACAGATTGATGATAGGGAGAAAAGTAAGTGTTAAGTGTCTCCTTAAAATAAATGAGACTTTTTAAATATAGTTTTTGTTGTGGATTTATGCTGTATCTTAGTTGAGCGTTCATCCCTGAAAATCATGCCAGAAATTATGCTCATAATAGGCACCCTCTTTTAATCTCCTGCTATATAATGTGCCCAGCACTGTTTGACATATTATCTCATTTTAGTCCTCACAGCAATTCTTTATGATAGCTGGGATGCCCATTTTACAGACAAGGAAGTTGAGGCTTGGCTCAAACACTAAGTGACTGGCCCCAAGTCACATAGAAAGTAGTAGGGCGGTGTTTAAGTACAGGTCCATTTAATGTCAAAGCCCTGGCTCTTCTCGGTGTACTGTCAGCCTCTCTTCCAGCCTGTTTTTCAAGAACATATTTTATACGGGGCGGGGTCAGGCTGTAGATACTTTCCTTGTAAATAGTGTTGTCACTGTGCATGTGCTAAAATGTGAAATATGCCAAATTTCTAAAGAGCAAAACAAACTCGTCATGTAAAATCTCTATTTCTCCCCTTAGTACCTCGCCTCCCTGGGCATACAATCCTTAGTTCAGCAGAGGGCTTTTGCTGGGAAGACAGCAAATAAACTGATGGATGCTCTAAAGGACTCTGACCTCCTGCACTGGAAACACAGCCTGTCAGAGCTCATCGACATCAGCATCGCCCAGAAAACGGCCATCTGGAGGCTCTATGGCCGCAGGTCAGTCTTCAGGCAGACGGTCAAGGCCATAGGGCTGTGGGTCCTTTTAGAGACGAGTGGAGGCTGGCAGATCTCCCTTATAGGATGCATAAACCAAAGTTCACACGTCTGCCTGATCTGCCCAAGACCACAGTGTAGTTAATAAGTGACAGAGCCACTTATGAGCCATGTTGTCCTCTGACTCCAAGCACAATGCCCTTGTGCTCTGAGACGGGCAGCGCCTCTTTCTGTTCGCAGGAGGCGTTGGGCCATGGTCACTCAAGTTGTGTTCTCTGGAATATCTCCAGCCTTGTGTTTAATTTCCGTTTTGCGTCTCTAGCTTGGAAGTAAACTTCTGACATCCTGGAGTCCTGTCACAACCTCACCTCTCACCTACACAATCTGCTATTTTTAGGAATTCAGTAATGAAAGGAAGAGCCTATATGGCCAGTCTGGGTTTTGTATGTGAGATAATTTTTTGGCAGGATGTGGTCTAAAACAACTGCAGACACTGGCCACTGAATATATTGCCAGAGCAGCTGGTACCAGGATGGCATCGGGTCTGAATTTACCCATGAAAACGAATGAATACACCGTGACCACAGGCAACGGGGAGGAGGGTGTCTGGCGCTTAGAGCTCCCTGTTGTGCCATAACCACTACGTTTCCTCTGGGGCTGCACATCGGGGTGCTTTCCCGCTTTCCTGGGAGGCAGCTGTTCCCACAAAGCCAGAACTTGCAGTGGGGCTTAACTTCCTTCCATTCGCACTCAAGAGAAGTGTGGGGTGTGGCGGAGGGCAGCCTGGTTCCCTTGATAGATGGGAGTCCCTGTTTGTCCCCTCACCCAGCACCATGGCGCTGCAACAAGCCCAGATGTTGCTGAGCATGAACAGCCTAGAGTCGGTGAATGCGGGCGTGCAGCAGAACAACACGGAATCGTTTGCGGTCGCGCTCTGCCACCTCGCAGAGCTGCATGCGGAGCAGGTAGGAGGTGGCCAGGTCGGTGGGCTTCTGGAGCAAGGGAGGCTCTGCCAGTTCTTTCCTCTATGCTTGAGAAGGGCACTGGGCATGTCAGGTACAGGTCTGTGGTTGGCCGCACCAAGAAGGGTGAATCCTGTCTGCTCCCTGCTCGTGGTGCAGCAGGTGTGGCTGCACGGGTGTGCTCATCACATCCTGTCTTTCTGTTTAGGGCTGTTTCGCTGCAGCTTCCGAGGTATTAAAGCACCTGAAGGAAAGATTCCCACCGAATAGTCAGCATGCCCAGGTAACCTGCTCTCTGTGTGACCTCGGGTTTATTTGTGAAAAGACCGTAATTACTGTATTGGTGTCAAAGTGTGCTCATGTAGCCTCCCCTCAGTTTCTCATGTCAGTTCCTTCTGTAACATACATGCATTGAGGTCAACATGGGTACTTACTTAGGAGACTCTGTAAGCTCTCTTCAAGAAGCCTGAGAAATAAACTCTGAGAAAAGATTTAAAGCAGGGGACTTCCCCTGCTCTTGTCTTCATGGTTTTAAATTAGTATTCTTAACATCTCCAACTATACAGGAATAAGAAAAGAAATTATCAACATCCTTCAACAGATCAGGAATTAGGTCTCAGTTTTGTTATTTTGTCTCGTACTTAGCAACTCTAATCTTTTCCTCCCAGAACTGAATAACCTTGTGGGAAGATGTTGTGCCCAGAGGGCAGTCCTAGGCCTTCTGTTTCTCACTGAACTGACTTTTATCTCTGAAGGGGCTGAAAACACGGTTACAAGGGCCTTCTTTCTCTCCCTTCCCTTACCATGTTTAGTCTTCAGGATTAAGGCCTGGGAATCTCCCACTGCTGGTCCCTGGGGTGGTCATTCACGTAGGTGGTTAGATAAGGTGTGAGCATGTGAGCTGTGCTGACATGTGAACCAGAGCACCCAGAGGGGAAACAAGACAGAAGATAGCACCCAAGGATGAAGTGTGGCTCCGTGGGAGTGCTAATGGGTGAAATAATTTCCATTGCAGTTCTAGCTGTAACCAAGAAGGTGTACAGTAAAATAAAGATACAATTTAATTACAGTTTACAAAAAAAACCTGTATGGCAGATAGATGTATTACAAAATGCTCAACCTGACCAGTGGTCAGGGAACTACAAATTAAAACAATAATGAGATACTTCATATCCATCAGATTGGCCAAAAGTAAAATATCTGACGGTAGCAATTGTCGGTGAGAATGTGGAGCAGAGGGTAATGTCATAGGCTCCTGGTGGGGCTGTAAACTGGTACAGTCCATTTGAAGAACAAAGGGCTTCTATATTAAAGTGAAGCGCATATGTACTACAACCCAGCATTGCCTGTGCTGGCTGTATACCTGAGATAAACTTGTACAAGGAGAGGTATGTGAAAATGTTTATTGCAGCATTTTTCAGAAGAGTGAAAAATCGATACCACCTAAATACCCATCAACCCGAGAATAGATAAGCTGTCACATATTCATATAATTGAGAACTATTAGTGAAAAGGAAGGAACTATAATTTCTTGTATTAATATGTGTAAACCCCCAAAATAATGTTGAGCTTAAAAGCAAGTTAAAGGATGCATACAGTATGATACTATTTATTTATACAAAGTTAAAAATGTGCAAGATCATACTACATGCTGTTTAAGGATAAGTATGTGTGTTGTAAAAGTATAAGAACATAAATGGGGATGATAGATACCAAGTCAAGTGCTTACTTTGGAAAAATAGAAAAGGGAGTAGAAATTGTAAAGTACTTCAGTAGTCTTAATAGTATCTGAAGGAAAGAAAGCAAAATGTGATTTGACAAAGTTGATGATTTGCACACGTGTTTGTTTTTTTATTAATGCTTGTTCACATACTTGAAATATTTTTTTAAAATATTTGTTATTGATTTTTAGAGAGAGGAAGGGAGAGAGAGAGAAAAAAAAATCAATGTGAGATCAAAACATCGATCGGCTGCCTCCTGCACGCCCCCTGCCAGAGATTGAGCCTACAACCCGGCATGTGCATGGGACGATGACCAACCAACTGAGCTACACTGGCCAGGGCCATACTTGAAATATTTTTTAAATAGCAAAAATTAAAAATGTGTTTGAATTGTTAGGATATTTGCTAAGCAAGCCCAAATACTTTTCCATCTCTGTTGAATAATGAGGTGAACACTTGCCATTTGTCCCTAATTATATTTTTTCTTATTAGTTATGGATGCTCTGTGATCAGAAAATACAGTTTGACAGAGCGATGCACGATGGCAAATATCACTTGGCTGACTCGCTTGTTACAGGAATCACAGCGCTTCATAGCACTGAGGGTGTGTATAGGTAAGAAACGTGGAGGACTCCAGCCCAGAGTGAATTCATTCCCCGGTGGCTTTATTCTTGTATGTTTTGTGTGTGAATTAATTTATCCACTTTAGCTTAGGAAAAACCTATTTTCTTTTTTAAAAAATTCTCACCAAGGATATATTTAGAGAGAGAGGAAGAGGCGTGGTAGCGGACAGTAAGAGAGAGAGAGACATCAATGTGAGAGAGAAACACTGGTTGTCTCCCATACATGCCCCGACCTGGGATCAAACTTGCAACCTATTAGTATACAGGATGGTGCTCCAAACTACGGAGCCACTCAGCCAGGGCAGAGAAACCCTTTTTTCTATTCATTACATATTTATTACAGGAAATGAGAAATACAGACAAGCAGAATGGAGACAGTAAGTGCCACCCAGAGACAATCACCAACATTGTGACATCTATAGTTCCAGCCTTTGCTCCTGCGTTTGTGTGTGTGTACACACACACATGTGCTTATAAACACACTCTTCTTCTTTTAACGAAAATTATATTAGGCACAGTTCTTCCCTGGGGATTCAATTACATTGTGATTGAGGAAATAGGGATTCTAACCCTGAAAGTGACTATACTTATAACCCTTGCAAAACGTCAACATAACCACTTACTAGTATGTTTATTTTGTTTGTGTCAGAAAAGCAGTTGTACTACAGGCTCAGAATCAAATGACAGAGGCACACAAGCTTTTACAGAAATTATTGATTCATTGTCAGAAAATCAGGAACACAGAAATGGTGATCAGGTAAGAGGGGGTCTCTCGTGCGTGTCACGGATGGTGCCTTGTGGTGGAAATTCTCATACTGTCCTCCTGTCTTCGGCAGTGTCCTGCTGTCTGTGGCAGAGCTGTATTGGCGATCCTCCTCCCCTACCATTGCACTGCCCGTGCTCCTGCAGGCGCTGGCCCTCTCCAAGGAGTACCGGCTACAGTACTTGGCCTCTGAAACAGTGTTGAACTTGGCTTTTGCCCAGGTAAGCTGATCTCTGTTTTGTTTTGTGTTTGTTTGTTTATTTTAGCATATATTTGTACTCAAGAACTGGCAGATCTGGTACTACTTTTTGGTTTTGAAGGATTATAATGAGCTTTCACTTCTCACTATTGAAGTCTGGGAATGCAGTCTCCATGGCAGGCCCTCCACTGTGAACTTGGAAATCTGGAGCTGTGAACTTGGTGGCAGGCTGACACCTCCCAGTGGCACTGGCTGCGTATTCAGTAAAGGGGACTCGCCTCTTCATTGAGGACATTTGCATCATATTAATGGTTAGCTGGCCCAGAGCTATGCTTAATTTAACAAGGGGATGAATAGAATAAAGAAGTGAGGGAGTCATATGTTAATTGAAAGGTTTTAGAAATGAAATTTTTTTTAATGTTTGTTTTCTGTCTCCCTTTGTAGAATGGAAAGGGTATGAGAGAAGGGGCACTTGTTTTTTCCCTACTGTATCCCATGGTACCTAGTAGGACCTACACATAGAGTAGGCTTTTAATGTTTATAGAATAATTTTTTCTTAAGTTCATGCTCAGCTAGTGTGGCTCAATAGTTGAGCGTCGACCTATGAACCAGGAGGTCACGGTTGGATTCCCAGTCAGGGAACATACCCAGGTTGTGGGCTCGATCTCTAGTCGGGTCATGCAGGAAGCAGCCCATCAATGCTTCTCTCTTATCATTGATGTTTCTCTCTCTCTCTCCCCCTTCCTTCCTCTCTGAAATCAATAAACATAATAGAAAAAATAAAATAAAATTCACGAGACATAAAAGTCATAATTTTAACCATTTTAAAATATACAATTAAGTAGATTTTAGAATATCTATATTATATCTATAGATATATACTAATATCTATCTATCTATAATATTTTAGAATATCTACAGTGTTTTGCAACAATCACACTATCTACTTCTAGATTATTTTCATTACACCAAAAAGAAACCCTTTTCCCATTAGTCACTCTCATCCCCTCCCTCCAGGCTCTGGCAACCACTAATTTACTTTCTGTCTCTATAGATTTGCTTATTCTGTGTATTTCATGTAATGGAATCATACAATATCTGGCCTTTTGTGTCTGGCTTCTTGATTTAGTGTAATCTTTTCAGGGTTCATTCATGTTGTAGCATGTACTACATCCCTTTTACAGCTGAGTCATAGTCCATTGGATGTATACATGTTTCATTTATCTATTCATCAGTTGATGGACCATTGGGTTGTTTCACCATTTGGCTATTAAGAATAGGTGATCTCAACATTCACATACAAGTTTTTGTGTGAATATTGTTTTATTTCTCTTGGGTATACTTGAGAGTAGAATTGCTAACATATAATAATTCGGTTTAACTTGATTTATTTATTTTTTTATATTAAACTACTGTTGGATTCCTGGGATAAATCCCAGATGGTTGTGGTGTACAATTCTTTTAATATGCTGCTGGATTTGGTTTGCTAATATTTGTTGAGGATTCTTTCTCCTGTAATCATAAGATTACATTCTTTTTCATCTATTCTGCCAGTCTTTCTTTTAATTGAAAAGTTTCATTCATTTAACATAATTATGCATAAGAATGGACTTATTCTATTTTGCTATTTTTTTGCTATATGCTTACATCTTTTTTGTTCCTCATATCTGCCATTACTGCTTTCTTTTGTGTTAAATAGATGTTTTCTAGCATATCATTTTATTTATTTTATTTATTTTTTTAAATATACTTTATTGATTTTTTACAGAAAGGAAGGGAGAGGGATAGAGAGTTAGAAACATCAATGAGAGAGAAACATCAATCAGCTGCCTCCTGGACACCCCCTTCTGGGGATGTGCCCACAACCAAGGTACATGCCCTTGACCGGGAATCGAACCTAGGACCCTTCAGTCCGCAGGCCGACGCTCTATCCACTGAGCCAAACCGGTTAGGGCTAGCATGTCATTTTAATTCCCTGTTGTTTCTTTTACTATATGCTTTTGAGATATTTTCTTAGAGCCTCCTCTTCCTCCAGTGATCCTTACACAGCTAATTCAACCCTTTGGGAATTGCCAATCTAAAGGATTTTGGTGTTGAATCTTTTTGTAAAAAAGACAAAACTTTCCCATAGTGTGAATAACTACTCCCTACTGTATCGATCGTCGTCTGAAATCAGATTGTTACACCTTATGTTTTCTAAGGATGGTGCACACTAAATGTAGTACATGTCAGGGAGAAGCTAAGCCAGACATGGCCTCAGGAGAGAAGGACCAAAAAGGAAGCCTTCCTTGGAGTGGGTAGTGCCTGTGGGTGTGTACAGCGCCACGATGTTTCTTTTCCAGCTCATCCTTGGAATCCCAGAACAGGCCTTAAGTCTTCTCCACATGGCCATTGAGCCCATCTTGGCTGACGGAGCTGTCCTGGACAAAGGCCGGGCCATGTTCTTGGTGGCCAAGTGCCAGGTGGCTTCAGCAGCTTCCTATGATCCACCGAACAAAGCAGAAGGTAGGAAGCCGTACCAAGGTTGTTAGGCAGTTTTCTAAAATGTAGGACCTGGAAAAAGAAAAGACATTAAATTTGGGACAGTATTTAAGTTTGAGTGTTCACAACTTTATGTTAAAATTTCAGGCAGCATTTAAAGCGCTTTCTCACATGCATGTTTGTCATGAAGGCTGAAGGCAAATGAGTGGTTATTTACCCTGTAGAATCAGGCACCGGGCAGGAAGTCAAGACTAAAGGCCCTTTATAAAACCTGACTACAGTGGGTTTTTTCCTCCTCAAAGAGTTGAGTATAGAAGTATCTGTACAGCATAGGGAACATTGCGATATTGCAATAACTATGCATGATGCCAAGTGGGTACTGGAAATATCAGGGGGAACACTGTGTAAAGTAGATGATTGCCTAATCACTATGCTGTACACTGAAGCCAATACAAAATAATACTGAAAGTAAACTGTAATTGAAAAATTAAAAGATAAATTTAAATATGTGTTTAAGAGCTAGTAAACACAAAATTTAAGTTAACATTTTTAAAAAAGTGTCTGGAACATGTTAAATCAATAAAAGATATTAAATTTTGGAAACTACATGTGAAGTGTTGAGTTAAACAGGTGTGGTATGTCCCCCCTTTTCCATCAGCTCTGGAGGCCGCCATTGAGAACCTCAACGAAGCTAAGAACTATTTTGCAAAGGTCGACTGCAAAGAGCGAATCAGAGATGTCGTTTACTTCCAGGCCCGACTCTACCACACTCTGGGGAAGACCCAGGAGAGGAACCGCTGTGCGATGCTCTTCCGGCAGCTGCATCAGGAACTGCCCTCTCATGGGGTGCCCCTAATAAACCATCTCTAGTGAGAACGTCCCTGCGGGGCCATGCTGTAGAGTGCAAGATTCTGAACTTGTTTACACTCCCTCCACATAAATGATGTGTGTGTGAGTGTGTGTGTGTGTGTGTGTGTGTGTGTGTGTGTCTTAATATATATATTTTTATTTCAGAGGGGGAGAAAGAGAGAGAGAGAGAGAAACATCAATGATGAGGGAATCATTGATCGGCTGCCTCCTGCACTCCCCACACTGGGGATCGAGCCCACAATCTGGGCATGTACCCTGATCGGGAATTGAACCATGACCATAAGTTGATGCTCAACCACTGAGCCATGCTGGCCAGGCTACATGATGTTTTTTATACCTGTTTTGTCAATAGACTGCATTCGGGTTCGTTTGTCTTGTTTTGCTGCTAGAATATACATATTTGTTTTGTTCTCCCTTTACCTTCTGGTAGCAAAGACATCAACTTTTGTTAATAAACACCTTTTAGTATAAGTGTTAAAGATTATGTTCTTTCTGGGCAAAATTGCCAATATCTTATTAGAAATTGTGCTATCTCTCCACCATTATGTAAATTTGTTTACACATATGGGTATTGGTAGATCTCGTAAGCACAGGTGTTTCTGTTGCTTGAATTTCCTTCTGAAGCATCCCTGCTTTGTAGGATCGAATGGTGCTTTTGTGGGCCCCTGCGTGCTCCTGAGTACATGTTGCTCCCTGACTGAAGTTAAGAAGGAAAAGATGTGTTTACAGTTTTTGGACCAATGACAAGCATATTTCATTCACTCTCTTGGTGTTGGCTTTCTTATATCTTCTGCCTGGTTATATTTTTTTCTATAACTATATGTGAGGGATGGTGATAACTTAAGTCTAGGAATTCATCATGAATAAGGTGATTATAAATTAAGAAAGCGTCTGAAGCTCAAAGTTGTGTAGATGCCATCACTCAAACACACAGTGCATCTAATTTACTCAACCCTGCAATTAAGCAGACGCCGGTCATTGCTCTTTCTGTTCATGAACTTGCTATCCTTGAGTGTTCACAGAAAAACCTGTTTCAAGTCCAAAACAGCAACAAGACACCAACCGAATTTTGCAGCTTCTATCATTGGCTCTTTTCTCTGTTCAATTTAAACCTGCCGCTGGGAAATAATTTATCTCCAAAGCTCTCTGAAGCAGAGTAAAACGACTCCCACTCACTAGAGTGTTTTGCTGGCCAAAGATGGCTGCTCTGGAAACAAGAGATTCAATGTGGAGATAGAGACATTAATTGGTATGTTGATGTTTAAAAATCTTTCCTTAAATTTATTTGAAAGGTTACATCTGTAGAGGGTAAAAATGATATATTCTTAAAGGCTGTATACTAAAATAATTCCTCCTCCCTAGGGGTTACCATAGCTATTACCAGTTTCTTTTTATTCTTCCAAATATATTCTATGTGTTTAAACATTGATTAGATCCTCCCAATCTAAGAAGTGATCTTAATCCCTCTGCCTCAGTGTAAGAAGGCCCAAGAGGTGGGGCAAGGTTGCTCAGCTGACCCTTCAGGTAGTCAGCCAACCTGACCAGGACTGGCTACATCATTTGTGGGGCCCAGTGCAAAGTAAAATTACAAGGCCTATATATTAAGCAGAGCCTTAATACAGAATGCGAAGGGCCCTTAATGCAAAGAGCCCTGTGCAAATGCAGTTTGCGTGCCCGACTCTGCTCTCAGATTGCTCGTTCACCCTGGCAGAATGGAATCCAAAGCTAATATCAAGAGGCCATGGCTCCCCATCATCTGTGACTTAGATTGGTTGACAGGGCCCATCTCCTCCAGGGGAGGATAGTGGGTTAAAAGGAAAGTTGGAAACATCAGTGATCCCCAAACTCAGAATATGTCTGGGTTATAGCTAATTGGCTCCTCCCCGCCTCCCCCCCCCGCCCCCCGGAAGTAAGTCAGACTGGTATAATTAGGGGTATAAAAATTGATGATTTGGTTAAATGGGGGAAAGGATTTGGTGAGGAGGAAATTGCAGCTAAATAGCCAGTGGGCATTTGGGTTTATAAGAGATCTTAGGATGTATTCTCAAAGGGGAGGAGGAGAAAGGTGTGACCAGGCTGGGCATGGTGGGAATTCTACCCAGCACATTTGGTGTTGAGTGTGTCCAGCCTGGGGCAGTGGGAACAAACAGCTTGACACTTCCAGAGGCTCTATTGTAAGTTACTTACGTGTATCAACACATGTAACCTTCACTGCCATCCTAAAAGGTAAAGAATAGCATTAACCCCATTTAACAGGTACAGACTGAGGCGTAAGGAGGTGAAGTCAGTGGCTCCTGCAAGGTTACACAGCTAGTAGGTTCCAGAGCTGAGAATCCTACCTAGTGGGTGCATTACCCAAGAGCTGCCTGTTCCCAGAGTTTGGAGAAGTTTGTTGAACACATAATTGATAATAACAGTTGCCGTTTATCTAGTACTCAATATAGACCAGACCTCCTTTGTGTCCACCTTCATATCCTGAACATTTCTACTGGTTCAGAGTGTCTTAAAATCGGTCCTGATGTTTTTGGTGGTTACACTGATTTTGTTCCTTCTCATAGTATCCCTAAGACAATCCTTCTCATAGTACACCTAAGACAAATGAAGAACTTTGTCTGTGCCATGGCTGACTTCCCCTTTTATACTGTTGTTTGTGTCTGAAACTAACAAACATACCAACCTCACTGCCTGCTGGATTCAAACTTCTCAGGGTCTTTTTTTTTTTTGCCAGCATTTTTCTATTGTCCTGTTGACTGGGAAAGAATTCAGTGAATAGTGGTGTGATTAATCCTGATGTCTCTACCTGGATGTTTAAGGTTTGGGAGGTGGAACCTTCAGTGAACAACACAAGTAGGATACCCAACAGTTTAGGAAGGAGAGGACAGAGCCTTGGCAGGAGCTCTGTCCTAATGGGTGAGATATTTTTAAAGTCTTACTTTTCAGCCCCTCCTCTGTACTGTCCAAGTTTTCTTAAAAAGAAGATTTGGATGCTTTGATTACTTATTTTCCTGGCACTCTCTTGTCAAGACAACAAGCTCTGTGTGCCTAGCATAGTTTTTTTCCTTTCTTTTTTTCTCTCTGGTGTTCCTGGAGGGGAAGCCTCAAAAAACAAAGCCAATTCTTATTTTCCCGTTGCTGAGAAGAAAATGATTTTGAGTGGGATGATTCTTATCACAAGAGGGGCTGAATGTCAATGAAAGACCCTTGTGATGTTCTCTGCCAGTTGTTTTAATTCACTTTAATTAGAAAGGCAACACGGTTGATGGGGCTTTTGCTCTCTGCCAAATGCCTTTGAGTGTTTATATGCCAGGCACTGAGCTATGATCTTTTCCCACACAATTGTATTTATACCCCAAGCCCAGCCTGTGCCCTTGGTTTATTATCCCATTTAGCTGATGAAACCAGAGTCACACGTCCAAGGCCACAGAGCTGATAACTATCAAAGCTGGGATCTGAACTAGGTCTGCATGACCACACGGTTTTCAACCACAAAGCTGAATGTAAACAAATGAATCAGCTGTAGTACCTATTTATATTCCAGGAATTTATAGCTCTATTGGCAAGTCAGAATGCAGTAGTGAAAAGTAAACAATAGCCCAGCCAGCGTGGCTCAGTAGTTGAGCGTCGACCTATGAACCAGGAGGTCACAGTTTAATTCCTGGTCAGGGCACATGCCTGGGTTGCAGGCTCGATCCTCAGTGGGGGGCGTGCAGGAGGCAGCTGAACAATGATTCCCTCTCATCATTGATGTTTCTATCTCTCCCTGTTCCTTCCTCTTTGAAATTAATGAAAATGTATTTTTTTTTAAAAAAATGAAAAATAATGACTGGGTAGCTGAGCATCAAATAAATGGTACAGTCCTTGCTATAGGAGATCAGAGAGGAGAGGACAAGGAGGGCCTGGATCACAGCATTTAAGGAAATTCTCCCAGAAGTTGATTTTGGGGTAGAGTTTAGATTTGAATGGACTCTTTTTTTTACCTTTCTCACATAATTGGCTTCTAACTTTACACAGCTACACGTATAACTAAGTTTCTGCCTGTTTGCTAGTTTAACAAAACACAGGCAATTCAGTAACACGATGTAAACATACAGAATTGTATATTTTAACATGTAACAGGAAAAGGCATCAACCAGTATCTATTTTAGTTTCTTTAGTAAAGCAGGGTTGCCAAACGATTGCCCACAGGCCCAATCTGGCATGCGACCAGTTTTCATGGGGCCTATCAGCTCAGAATGTTTTATACATTTTAAGTGTTTGAAGAAAAATCAAAACAATATTGTGTGATCTGAAAACTATGTGAAATTCAACTTTCAGTGTTGTAAATAAAGTTTCATTGGAACGCAGCCACACACATTCATTTTCTTTTGTCTAGGGCTGCTAGAGTGGCTGAGTTCTTGCCAATACACACATGGTCTGCAAAGCCTAAAATATTTGCTGGCCTTTTACAGAAAAAGTTTGCTGACCCCTGTCACAAAGTTAGACATATTCAGAATATTCCCTGTCAGTCCCAATACATATTTGGGGGAAGAAAATAGAAAAATACAGAATTATGCATTCACCATTCAGAGTTGACAACATTTTGCTATTTGCTTCAAATCCATTTATAAGTAAAAGGCATAAAACTTTACAACATTCATCAAATGACTATAACACATTTCATTGATCTATTCCCCTGATGATCAGTTAGGATGGTTGTTCCCAGGTCTTTTTTTAATATATATATATATATTTTATTGATTTCAGAGAGGAAAGGAGAGGGAGAGAAACATCAATGATGAAACATCAATCATTGATAGGCTGCCTCCTGCACGCCCCCCATTGGGGATCCAGCATATGCCCTGAAGGGGAACCCAGCCTTGACCTCCTGGTTCATAGGCCAACCACTGAGCCACTGGCTCGCTGGGCCCCAGGTCTTTTCTATTCCCAACAAATGCTTGCATGCCCAATAACATCAGGAGGGGTGCTCATCTCATTGGAACGCTCTTGTTTGTAAGCGCCGGAGTGGGGGGGGGGGGGGGAGGGCTGGAAGTACCAGACAAGCTAAACGCCTGCAAAGCCACTCAGTTGACAAAGAGGACTTTGAACCTTTCATTAATTTGGCTCGACTCCCTTTTAAACTCTTGATTCCCCTTTTGGCTGCTTGGCAGGGGTCCGTGAGACACGCCCTGGGTAACTC